TTCCTGGTAAAATTTATTCAGAGGTTTCCCATTGCCTTCTTTGAAGGCTGACAGAGGGTGACTTGCCCATGGCAGTTTCCATGGCTGAATGGGGATTCGAACCCGACTCTCAGAGTCCTAGCCCACTACATTACACTTGCTCTCTCAGACCAACTGGAGGGCTCAGTACATGATCCACAAGCAAAATGGGAGATGGCAAAATTATCTCTCTTGTAGATTTGGGGATGGGGTAGTGGGTTCCACATTATCTCTGAATCTCAGCCAAGGGAGCCTCTGCCATAATCGACCCCAAAGGCCTCCCAACAAAGGACTCAGTCTGTGATTTTACCCTAACATTTTGGGCTTCCTCACCGTCGCCATCCATGGGAAGCTCGATCTTCACAATGTCTGACGGATCCAGCTCCAACTTGGGGGAATCAGCAGGCAAGCCATCCAAATCCTCCAGAATCTGAATCAGAAATGAGAACAGTGGGTCAGACATTTAAAAAATGTAAATGTGTGTGTCTGTGTGTGTAGTGCGCATGTGTTCATACACAAACACTAACATGAACAACCCATGTTTCTTCCATTAAAGTAGGGGTGGGCAAAGTGTGGCTAGCAGACTGCATGAAAGAAAGAAGCTAGTAGCATCAGCTTTTCTAGATTTGAGTCTCAAAAATGCTACAAAATCCCTTTATACAGTCGTCCCTCCCAATTTGTGGGGGATCCATCCCGGACGGACACACACCCCGTGAATTGGAGAAATCGCCAATATTTGAGCCCCATTGATTTCAATGGGGGCGCTCCTGCGTGCGGCACGGCACATGTTCCTCAGATGCGCACACCATTTTGTCCCTCACGCCTTGCCTTGCGAAGGAGCAAAGGACATGAATGGCAAGACCGCGAATGGTGAGCGACAAGTGTATACTGATTTTTCAAACTAACACACTATGCCTTCGGGCCTCACTGATGGACTCCAAATGATATGCGTAGGTTTTATAAACTCATTCAACCTTTCTTAACTTGTGAATGAGTTTAACACATTTTTAGTCTATTTAAATTATTTTTATTTTTATTTAAATTGTAACCTGTTTTGATTTTACAGTCAGCCTGCTATATCGACGGATTCTTCCTTCGTGGATTCAACGGTCCACAGCTTGAGAAAATTTTACGAACTTCCACAAAGCAAACCTTTAGTTTACCATTTTATATAAGTATTTCTTTTATCTGTCCTGACCCCATTTTATTATGCCATACAGTTGGCCCTTTATATCTGCGGGGATTCTGTTCCAAAACAATCAGTGAATATTAAAAATCACAGGACCTCAAGTCCCATTATTATAAATGAATGTGTGACATGTGCTTGACCACATTGGCATGGTTGCATGCATCCACCGCTATTGCCAACAATGGGAAATGGGCCATCCACAGATGCTCCTATCCACAGATGAGGAGCTTGCTCATGCCAAGGACCAACTGTAATGGGACTTAAGCATTTACGGATTTTGATATCCATGGGGTGTATGTTCCTGGAACCAAACTCCAGTGGAGATCAAGAGCCCACTGTACCAATACAATCCCCTGAGATATTTATTTATTTATTTATTTATTTATTTATTTATTTATATGTCTATATATCTTTTCCATGCAAATATAGTCGTACTGATCACATGTCCACTTATTTGACCTCTCTCATATCCAATGGATAAACCTATCTGTGCATAGCTGTTAAATTCTCCTGAGACTTTTGACAGAGAGCGGGCTAGAAATATTTTAATAAATAAAATACAATTGGCCTTCTGTATCCACAGATCCTTTATCCACAGATTTGAGCATCCATGGCTTGGAAATACTAATATATATAAATTTCCCTTAAAACGCAAACCTTGATTTTGCTATTTTAAGGGACACCATTTTAATATGCTATTGTATTTAATTGAAATTGAACATCCATGGATTTTGGTGATGGTCCTGGAACCAAAGCCCAGCAGATACCAAGGGCCCACCGTAAAAATAATTTAAAAGCTCGGGGTGAAAAGGAATGGCTCTGACCTTCTGCCCCAGTTTCTCTCCTCCTTGGGGCCGCCAAAGGAAATCCTCGGCAAGGGCCACAGCCTGGCTACCACTCTCGGGACTTCGCTCCCTGACCCAGCATTGCATCTCCAGGGGCAGGATGGTCAGGAACTGCTCCAGGATCACCAGCTCCAGGATCTGCTCCTTGGTGTGCTTCTCTGGATTCAGCCATTGGTGGCAAAGTTCCCAGAGTTGGCAGAAAGTCTTTCGAGGTCCTTCAGCCTCCCGGTAGGACAACTGCCTGAACCGCTGGCAACACACCTCCATGTTGAGTGCCTTCTCATTCGGAAGCTCTCCCTTCACTTCCACCGATGAACCTGGACTCTCGTAAGCCTCAAGGGCTTCTTGACCACCAAGGGCCACAGGTTTTCCTCCAAGAGATTGCCACTTGGCATCAGTGACACCTTGAAATTGTCCCGTATTCTCCTTCACTAGAAGTAGAGGCTGCTGAGAGCTTCCCCATCCTGGACAATGGGGTGACATTGGCCTCGTCTTTGGGAACCCTTGCCCCTCGGCTTCCCTGAAATGGTGTAACCCCTCTTCCGGTTCCTCCTTAATCCGAGGTGGGGTAACCCCGGTCACAAACTCCCCGATGGTCTCAACTTGGACAACGTGCAGGTCTTTTCCACCCATTCCCAACCTCTTCTCTGATTTGGGGTCTGG